GTGATATCGATCTTTAGAGGTTGGTGGTTCCAAATCTCGGTTCCCCATTGAGGTTCAGATTGCCTTTTCTCTACAGAAGATCAGATGTGTAAAGAATAATCATTCGGAAGTTCATTGTCTTCTCAGCATCCAATTATTGACGTGCTTTCCCCAGTGCATTGCTAAACATGCATCATTACATTAAATCTACCAAAACGCGTATCATTTTGATTGTATGGAGAATTACGCTATAAAAAATTCAAACATGCATAAGTATAAGCCAATTATGTTCACCTATGGTAACTAGATTGTTATACACTCATGTTTGATTTTATCTCCACAGCAGGCCTAGGGTGATTCTATTATGTTTCCCCCAACGCAATCTGTTTGATTTACCACTAGTCGGGTCTTTGGTATCTTCCATTTACCCAGTAAGTTTGTGGTTTGTTCTTGCCCTTGCAAGCCCTTGGTTACCTTACTTGTGTTTTCTTTTGACGTTAGAGTGTGAGTAAGAGTCGGTGTATAGCCTTTCTTGCTTCTCAATTGTTTGAGTATCCATACTTGATGTGTGGTAATTCAGATAATTGCCATTGTTGAAGAATTACACCCCGCTTTTGGCCTGAGGGATTTTGTAGTCCTTGCGTATTTGCAACTCTTAAAGTCTAACATGTGTTGGCAATACGTGTTTAGAGTCCCTACAGTTGGTCTCTCTTTTCTAATCACAAGTTCTCCTTTGACCGACATTCTATTCAGAGTCAATGTCGCGTTGTATCCCCAAAAATTCTGCCTTTGGTCGGCATTCTCCCTCCAAAAGTCTACCTTCGATTAGTCTTCCTTTCATTGTGGAATTCACCTTCGCCTGGTGTCTTTCCATTTTTAGGTCCACCTTCACCTGGTGTCCTTTCTTGTTGGTTAAGGTTCGTCTTCGCCCGACGTTCTCTTTTCTCCGATAAGTTCACCTTGTCCGGTGTCTTTCCATTTTTAGGTCCACCTTCACCCGGTGTCCCTTATTTTTAGTTAAGGTTCATCTTTGCCTGACGTTCTCTTTTCTCCGGTAAGTTCACCTTCGCCCAGTGTCTTTCCATTTTTAGGTTCACCTTCACTCGGTGTCCCTTCTTGTTGGTTAAGGTTCGTCTTCGTCCGATGTTCTTTTTTCTCTGGTAAGTTCACCTTCGCCCGGTGTCTTTCCATCTTAGACCTTCACCCGATGTCCCTTTTTTGTTGGTTAAGGTTCGTCTTTTCCCGACGTTCTCTTTCCTTCCGCAAGTTCACCTTCGCCCGGTGTCTTTCCATCTTAGGTTCACCTTTTCCCAGTGCCTCCTTTTTGTTGGTTAAGGTTTGTCTTCGCCTGACATTATCTTTTCTCCATAATTCAGCTTCGCCCGGTGTCTTTCTGTCTTAGGTTCACCTTCGCCCGATGTTCCTTTTTTGTTGGTAAGTTTGCCTTCGATCGGCGTTCTATTCAGAGACACGTATATTTTACCCCCAGTTTGACTTCAATCAGTGTTCTTTCTTCAGGAGTCTATCTGCGGTTAGTATTCCTTCTTTGATAATCTTTGGTTGAAATAGTTCTGTTATATTTATTCCTTCCTTGATATATCTGGTCGAGATTTCCTTGTTAGATCTCTTCCATCTTCGATATCTTCGATCGAGTCCATTGTGTTAGGTCTCTTCCTTCTTTGATATCTTTGGTTGAAATTGCTATGTTAGATTTCTTCCTTCCTTAATATATTCAGTCGATATCTCTTTGTTAGAACTCTTCCATCTTCAATATCTTCGGTCGAGTCTGTTCTGTTAGGTCTTTTCCTCCTTTGATATCTTTGGTTGAAATTATTGTGTTAGATTTCTTCCTCTCCTGATATATCTGGTCAAGATCACTTTGTTAGATCTCTTCCATCTCTGATATCTTTGGTTGAGTCTTCTGTGTTAGGTCTCTTCCTCCTTTGATATCTTTGGTTGAAATTACTGTGTTAGATTTCTTCCTCTCCTAATATATCTGGTCGAGATCACTTTGTTAGATATCTTCCATCTTTGATATCTTTGGTTGAGTCCGCTGCGTTAGGTCTCTTCCTTCTTTGATATCTTTGGTTGAAATCATTGTGTTATTTTTCTTCCTTCCTTGATATATCTGGTCGAGATCGCTTTGTTAGATCTCTTCCATCTTCAATATCTTTGGTCAAAATCGTTGTGTTAGATTTATTCCTTCTTCCATATTTCTGGTCGAGATCGCTTTGTTAGATCTCTTCCATTTCTGATAGTTTCATTTGAGATCACTTTGTTAGGTCTCATTCATCTCTGTTATCTTTGGGCAAAATCACTGAGATTCCATATTTTCCCGACACCTTGGATTGAGTCCTCTTTGTTAGGTCTCTTTCGTGTTATATATCTTCGTTAGAGTAGACTGTAGTGGATCTTTTTCTTGAGTATCTAATCTCTTTCTTGTGTATGACCTTGACCTAACATCCAAGAGATTTACCCAGATAACCACCATAACAAAAAAAAGAAAAAAAAAATAGAAAATACAGAAACCAAAAAATATAATAACACCTGACTAGCTTCGGAGTGCAAATTTTCGAGTTCTTTTAGTATTTAATCTTCTTCCACCTTGAAAGTTCGAAAGGCTGGCGCCAATCTCACCTTCAGGTTGAAGGAGATTAAATAGGGGCAGTTGTTGCACCCCAAAATTTCCCTCACAATTTCTTTCATTTGGCTTAGACTTGTGCATTCATCCACATATATTCCATTAGGCCGTCTGCATTAACATAGCATACATTCACATTTAATAAAGTGTATGAAGTTCAAAAGATCAGTGGATTGTACATTAGAGCTTCACATGGATTGAAACTTTTACAACAAGTACAATCTGATTCTTTTGTTTCACCTGGTTCTTTCTGTGAACATTAAAGTGTGAGATTAGGGCGTGAAGTCTGATTATCAGGGACTCATTTCATCATCAAGAACAACAGGGTGTTTGGTGCTTAAACAAATGATTGTGGCTAGTTTAGTCATTAGAAAGGCACTTGATCTGATGGATTTATTGAATCGTAGGCTTCATAATCAGATGGCTTCTCATGATTAAAGTCTTGCTTGTTCTCATTTGTGTTGGTCGCTCTGAACTTGTGGCTTGAATTGGGTTTCATTATTCATTCGAGTAATTACTTAAGGCAAAGTGATTCCATGAGTTCAAATGGTCAAAATTGGATCAAAGTTGGAAGGGTGTTACATGATTGTCATGGTGTACATTATCAAGTTCCTTTGTAACAATATCTATTCATCTAAATCTCCTAATGCGTTCAGATGGTATGAAAAGCTAAGATCATGATTCGTTAGTGGTTGATTCAAAGATTGAATTCATTCATGAATTTCAAGATTTTGTTCAATATTTCCGCAAGGGTTTTTACAAAGATTCATCCAAACATTTTTGGACAAGAGAAGCTCTCACTCATTCAAGAACATTATGATTCAAGACGTCATTAAAGTTATACGAAAATGCATTCATTCGCATCAAGGCCATTACAAGAAGGCTACATATATCATTCCATCATCATTTTCAAAGGGAAAAGAAACTGCATTAAATACATGAAAAAAAACTACATAAGAATATGCCTATCCCTGACACTAATCTCCATCTTTAGTATTCTTCATGTTCTCTTTTCCAGACTTTTTCAATAGCTTCTCCATTTACATCCAATACTTCTTCAATTCTCTTTAAGTCCTCCATGATCAAAATAACTTTGCAACTTGGTTCTCACCCTTAACATCAAGCCTATGTGCTGCATACGACTAGCAGCCATCTGAAACCAATTCAGAAACCGAAGCTATCTTGCAAAAAAACAGATTGGCACTTCATCAACTAACGGCATATAATCAATTCATAAATTTAAATGTGAGCCAAGTCAATTCCATCTGTGCATAACAGTTCAAGGCATTCCAACATAGTTCGGTTTAGAGTAACATTACCTCACATGTATCAGGTCCACATTTCAATCTACATTCACCTTTAAATCCACATTCAGAGTCAGATTGTGTTTGCAGCCCAGATTCACATTCTAAACCACTCAAGATTCACTCCATATGCACCTTCAAGTTCAGTTCAAATACACTTAAAATACGCCTCTATTCACTGAAGAAAACAAACTCAAACAAAAGAAACATCAGGAAAAAGAGATAAAAATGGATATCTGAAAATTGTGAGATAAGTAATCGAAATAACATGAACTGGGCATTTAATTCATGACATAAATGGGGAGAAACAAATTCAGAATTCCAACTCATAACTAACTCAAAAATTAGAACAAATCCTGACCATTCGGTTTATAACAGAATCCGTAGCTAACCATTCAATCAACTAACTCTAACCAATTCCTAACTAACTTCTAACAACTCTAACAGAATATAGAGGAGACTCACGATTCTGCAGAGGAATCTCCATCGCAGAAAATTTCTCTCCTCCTCTCACCTTCATCTTCATCATTCTTCACAGTTCACAGAAAGCCTCCTTCAAACTTATCTCTGATCTCTCTCCATAACCACTCTACATCTTCAACCTTCCTTGATTTGTTATCTTCATACACCTTTAATATTCATCAACAACTGCAACACCCTCTTCTGCATCACCAAATCTTCTTCTCATTAAACGTGTCGCAATCACAACAACAACAATAATCAACATCTCTACATCCTTACGCCTGCGCATTAATATCAACGTCTTCATTATCGCGGCAACCGCACTACATCAGCGACTCAATTACTTCAACTTCTTCCTCAACACATCTATAACAGCCGCATAACACAGAACATCACAACAACATCATTCACAGAGTCACATCAAAAACAATAGAAACACATGGAATCGCCAGAAAAAATAAGATAGAAGGAGTCGAGTAAGAGTAGGAATTGAATACAAAGCACATACTTGAGCATATTTTTGGATTTCTCGTCGCTATCGCAATCGATGAGGCACCGGACTGTCTCCGGTAGGTAACACTCATCAATATCTTGATTCTTTCCATTAGTTTTTAATGTATATTTTTGTTCATCTGGTTTGGTTGAATCAACGGAGATATAAGGGAGAAATGAAAATAGAGATAAAGAGAGTGAAACGAAGTGTGTTGATATATTCGAAGACTAATCCGCGAAGAGATGAGGTAAAAAAGATGCGTTTTGTAGAGATCTACTGCGGCGAAATGGATCGGAGAAGATTGATACGCGGCAGCGAAATGGAGAGGAATGGTCAAAGAATTGGGACCGTCACAAATTCAAGCCTGAATTTCTCTCCATACGCTGCATTTTGATACTCTTCCATATTTCCCACTTTGTTTCTTTTTTTTTAGTTTGTTTTATAAAATTCTGAATATACTAATATACATATGCTGAAACAAAATTGAATCAAATGTGGATCTGGGTGCAACATGGAGCAGACTCCTTAGGCCCATATGCTAATTGTTGTATACATGGAAGTTGACATAACAAAAAAAACAGCTTATTAGACTCAATCTAATGGGTCCAGCGCCTGTTTTACTACAACATCTCATGCTTACAGATTGCACCCTCTGTTTTGTTATTCGCATTTTTATTTAAATAATTTTGATAACTATTTAGTTTGAACTTTTTCTTCACATGATAAAAAATAACAAAAACATTAATAAAAACGTTAGATTTTCTTATTTGTTTTGTTTGGAATTAAATCCTGATTATTCTATTACTTGAGATTTATAATTCACCTTTACTTGTTGAGATTTGAGTCTTATGCATATTTATTGTGCGATATACGAATGCGCTTGAGATTTCGATTGTGAATTTTCACATTTATGATGCTTCAGCGCTTATTCCGAGCATTTGATTTCTGACTCTTTTCTTTGACCGGTGCAGCTTACTCGAAGATCGTCGGGTTTCTTTGTTTTGATAGGTTTTGCTAATGATTGATATCCGTTTGGTATTTTCTCTCTTTTATCTCATTTCAACATTTTACTGTTTTATAGATATCATGAGAAGTAGAAAATAAAGAGCATGCGCTCGAAAGTCGTTGTTTAAAGACCTCTAGCAGGCATTTTGCACTTTATTTGCTATATGTGTTGTGCTTGTGTTTGCTTCCTTGGTTGTTGATCAATGAGTCACTCAATTTAGAAATTGAGATCACGACTTCGCTTTCAGTGCATGCCCCCTATAGGATTTTATTGCTTTTTTTGGTTGTTGATCGATGAGTCACTCAATTTAGAAATTGAGATCATGACTTCGCTCTCATTGCATGTTCCCTATAGGATAGTTTTGTTAGACTTTCTTTGGCATGCTAACCTATATAAGATCTCTCTAGGTGTTCTTTCTTGAGCTTATTGGCATGCTTGCTTGTTTCATCTTTGTGTGCATGTTTTGAGATGATATACCATACGCATGTTCCCTTAGGAGCTCTCAATTCATCTATAGACGGTGATTTAAGATATACATAGTTTTAGGTGATAGACCCTTGCTATGCTCCTTTAGAACTTCTTGATCCATCTATAGATGATGAGTCAAGATAGACATTAGGATTGTTATCCAAGCATGTCGGTATAGGGTAGAGATTTCCCTTTTATCCTCGACCTTAGGATCAATCATTGTATGATAACATTAGGGATAGATCTAGGTTAGTCTCCCTTAGATGTTTTTCTTTCTTTTGCATCCTTGCATTAAGACTAAAACTCTTTTTCTTGAAAAATCATAAAACATATAACAACTTCCAAATCCTTATTTAAGGTAAAAGCTATCAACCAATGCAAACTCTTTTTGCGCCTTCAGGCTTTTCTTTCAAACTTTTTCAAAAGGACATGTTAATTCACTTCTGTGCTGACGCGTAAATATCCAAAGGTCGAGTTGCAGCAGAAGGTGAAATTAATATTATTCATTAAAAAATACAAACCAACAAAAACATGTGAGCCAGACTACGGCTTCTCTGATTCCTTAAAAGGAATACGTAGGCATTGGGGTAGGGCCCGAACGAGCACAACTTTTATTTTCCCTACATTCTTTTCTCATTTCTTTTGCATGCATTCCCTGTACAGCTTAGATATAGATTTGAAACACATCATTTGATTAGAACAACAAGATTGGATACCATAGAGTACTACAGGCGTGTGGGGGTGCTAATACCTTCCCCTCGCGTAATAGACTCCCTTACCCGATCTCTCGGTCATTTGATCGTGATTTCACCCTTCTCAGGTTTACTCAATGTTTACCTTTCCCTTCCTGTGGGATAAAAAACATTCGATGGCAACTTTATTGATTTCATTATCAGTTGATTGTTCAACCGGTTGTTTTAGTATGGCCCTTCATAATTTGGGGCCCATTTTCTTTAACACGAGGTCTCCGATTTGGAAGTTCTGAGGATGAACCTTCTTGTCGGAAGCTTTTTTAGTTCTTCTCTGATATAACTGGCCATGGAAAATGGCTGCTAATCGCTTCTCATCGATAAGGTTCAACTGATCGAACCTTGCTCGGACCCATTCAGCTTCATTCAACTTGACATTCATTATAACCCTTAGGGAAGGTATCTCTACTTACAGTGGTAAAACAACCTTCATCCCATAAACAAGTGAAAAATGTATTGCCGTGGTCGAGGTGCATACTAAATTACGATAGCCATGTAGAGAGAAAGGCAACATCTCATGCTAATCCATGCATGTCACTACCATCTTTTGTAAAAATTTCTTGATGTTCTTATTTGCAGCTTCAATCGTATCATTTATCTTTGGTCGATAAGGAGAAGAGTTATGATACTAGATTTTGAAGTTCTGGAACAAATATTTTATCATTTTGTTGTTGAGGTTGGACCCATTATCAATAATGATCCTTTCATGAATTCCGTAGCGGTAAATGATTTGATTCTTGATGAAGCGAGCAACCACTTGTTTGGTGACGTTGGCATAGGAAGAAACTTCTACCCATTTGGTGAAGTAGTCGATGGCAACCATAATGAAACAGTGACCATTAGAAGCAGTTGGGTTGATTCGTCCAATCATGTCAGTGCCCCATATAGCAAAAGGCCAAGGAAAAGTCATTACATTCCGAGGTACTGGCGGTACAATTATTTTGTCTATGTAAATCTGGCACTTGCGACAAGCTCTAGCATGATGAAAGCAATCAGTTTCCATAGTGGTCCAATAATATCCTGCCCTCAGAATTAGCCATGGTATTGCCACTAAAATGCGTCCCAAAGGAACCCTCATACACTTCCTCTATGATCTTAGCCGCTTCGTGTCCATCCACGCATCTGAGCAGCACTGAATCATAATTTCTTTAGAGAATTTTACCGCTGAGGAGGAATTTGGATGATAACTTCTGTAAAGTCTTTTTATCAGTTATAGAAGCTCCCTCTGGATATTCTTGTGTTTCGAGGTACCTCTGAATGTCATAGCACTAAGGTTTATCATATAGTAGATTGTATGATCTTTTCTTTTTGTTTCATCATGTTGACCGAGTACATAGCCCATAGAATTATCAAGTACTGTTAGGTACATAATCAAAGGTATTCCTGATATGGGAGGTAGAATAATTGGAGCTTCTTGCAAATACTCTTTGATCTTGTTAAAGACTTGTTGACAATTGCCATTCCATTTTACGGCTTAATCCTTTCGTAACAATTGAAGATTGGCTCACGTGTAGATGTTAAGTGAGAAATGAATCTGGCGATGTAATTTAATATTCCTAGAAACCCACAAACTTCTTTCTCTGTTCTTAGCTAGGGCATCTATTTTATTGCTTTTACTTTCACAGGATCAACCTCAATGCCTCGTTGACTTACTATGAAACCCAACAGTTTGTCGGACTGTACCCCAAAGGTGCATTTGTTTGGATTCAACCTTAACCGAAACTTTCTTAACCTCTCAAACAGTTTTTGTAGGTTTACCAAATGCTCCTCCTCAGTTTGAGACTTTTCAACCATGTCATCAACATAAACCTTAATATCTTTGTGTATCATGTCGTGGAAAAGAGTCACCATGGCACGCTGGTATGTTGCACCAGCATTTTTCAGGCTAAAAGACATCACTTTGTAGCAAAAGGTGCCCCAAGGGGTAATGAAAGTGGTTTCCTCCATGTCTTCCAGAGCCATTTTAATTTGGTTGTACCCAGAGAAACCATCCATGAAGGAGAATAACTTTGAATGAGTGGTATCGTCAACCAGAACATCAATGTGAGGAAGCGTAAAATCATCCTTAGGACTTGCTCTGTTCAGATCTCTATAATCGACACACATTCGTACCTTTCCGTCTTTCTTTGGCACAGGCATAATGTTCGCAACCCATGAGGGATACTTGATTTCTTTCAGGAAACTTACGTTGAACTGTTTATAAACCTCTTCTTTAATCATCATGGACATGTCTTGGTGCGTTCTTCGAATTTTCTATTTAACGGGTGGACAATCTTCCTTGAGAGGCAAGCGGTGTATGACGATATCTGTATCAAGTCCAGGCATGTCTTCATACGACCAAGCAAAGACATCGACATACTCTTATAGTAGACCAATTATACCCTGTTTCACCGATTCTTCTAAAGTAACCCCTATTCTGACTTCCTTTTTTACAACTTCGGTACCCAAGTTAATAATTTCCAAGGATTCCTCGTGTGGCTGGATAGCCCTCTCTTCTTGCCTCAGTAGCCTAGCAAATTCTTCGGGGAGTTCATAATCCTCCTTATAATCTTCTTTATCTTGGTAAATAGGATTATCAAAGTCATAGAGAGTCATAGCAGTATCATCATCAGTGGGAACCAGGGTGAATCTGTATAAAGGGGATTTATGATTCTTAGAATGCGAGTGATTTTTTTTTGAAAGAAAAAGAAAAAATAAAGAAAACATTACTAGTTTTAAAAAAGAAGAGTATAATTGAAAGACAAAGAAATCAAATTTGAATAAAAATGTCCTTTATTTAATGATAAAACATGCAAAGACAGAGGGGTCTTACAAGATTTCATTGTGCCTTGGGCAGAGCACAGGAATTTTTCTTAAAAAGGGAAATTACTTATGATGAAAAGTGACAGGAATGATATCTTCAACAGTCCAATTATGGAGCTCTTGTTCGAGAACACAAGGATGAATCCAGTTACTGATGTCGTTGTTGATGTCGAAGTCGTCATCCACTGCTTATATTTGACCTTCATTGACGGCGCCAGTGCTGGCAAATTTGATGAAAGACGGAGATCCACGACCCCTTGAACTAGAACTTCCTTTGCCTTTAGGGTATAATTTTCCTCGTTCCTACTGTCCTGGGTGATAGCCTAATCCCAACTTATCAAATTTTGCAGGTAAATCCAAGACTCGACC